ACATGATTTATGTAAAAATTTGTATGTGTGTAATTTAGAGTCTAACTTGAAATATCTCATGGTTTTTGTTTTATTTTTTTATTACAAATAGTTAAAAATGGTATGCATATCTTATTTGGTGACCTGGAACTAGTCAAAATGTAGATGCTTTTTAAACCATCTTAACTACTGATATTATCTTGTGTTTGTGAAGCATGAAATAGTTCAATTTATTGACCGGGTGTTGTATCACTGGGGAGAAATGAATTTTCACTGTGTTTTATTGCACCTACTCAGTGAGTTTGGCATTAAAATAAATAATGCTTTAATGAGAAAAGGGATGGCCTAATCATTTCACTATCGAATGGGGGTAAAGAACTCTGGGCCATGGTCCCATCAAAACACCTGACCCAATTATAGACAAGGTGGGCACTTCACCTCCCTGTGCCTGACTTCCTACAGAAGCAAAACAGATTAAGAATATGAACTTTTGCCAAAGTGGAGTGGGAACCCAGTGTTTGCCTTATGCTTTGAGACTTAGATAAATGCTGATATTTTTAAAAAATCCTACACCATACATATTTACTGAGCTTTCTTCATGTTGGAAAAAGGGGGCAGAGAGACTGGGATGTCTACAGGTGCAGTGGTAGCTTCCAGGACTTGCGCCCTTTGTGTGGCAATGAAGCAGCGTATTCTCTTCAGGCTGCGTGCTCTGCCCTAGTTCTTGGGAGACAAGTGGCCAGGCAGATCTGGGCCTTGGTGTGCCAGGAGAACATCTGCCTGCATACCGTTCAATGAATTTGCTGTAAGTGGTACTTGAAGGCGGAGCTGGGGGATCTTCCTGCAAAGTGGTTTCTTCCCTCTGCGTTCATAAATGCTGCCGAGGCTACTTGACAGTTATTACCTCCTTTTCAGCACATTCTCCCTCCTTGTGGCAGAAACAAACCAGATTATAACTTACTTTGCCTCGTTCCTATTTGCGGTAACAAGATCTATTTGTTTTGTTTTTGTCTTTGGAAGAGGAGGGATGGGGATCCCTGGGTGGCACAGCGGTTTGGCGCCTGCCTTTGGCCCAGGGCGCGATCCTGGAGACCCGGGATCGAATCCCACGTCGGGCTCCCGGTGCATGGAGCCTGCTTCTCCCTCTGCCTGTGTCTCTGCCTCTCTCTCTCTCTGTGACTATCATAAATAAAAAAATAAAAAAATAAAATGCATTTAAAAAAAAAAAAAAAAGGAAGAGGAGGGATGTGTTTGGTGGCTGGCAGTTACTCTTCCTGTCCAAAGAGGCATGGAGGGAGACAGTGGAGGGGGAAGGCAGTGCCCTGTCCTGTAAGTGGTGTATTGGGGCCGGGCACATGGTATTAGGTCTGCCTAGCAATGGAGTATGTTCTCAGCACATGTCGTATGGCATTTACAGATAGAAGGGAGGACCAAACTTCTGCATGAACAAGTTAGATCCGTTTGGTGGGTCAGGGAGGTTGTGTTTGAGATTTCAGCATCAGAGATTGATTCTTTTAGGAGGAAATGTCAATGCATGATATAGAACCAGATGTGTGTGTATGCTATTGATGGAAATCATCATAATCATAATCATGGAGATTAACAAAGCAGAGAAAACTTTTTCTTTCTTTCTTTTTTTTTCTTGAGAAAACTCTTTTTCTTTAAAAAAGAAATCCCTGTAGGGATTCTCTTTAGCCCAGAAACAAACCCATATAAATATCATCACCTGATTTTTTAAAAAGATTTTATTTATTTATTCATGAGAGACACACAGAGAGAGGCAGAGACATAGGCAGAGGGAGAAGCAGGCTCCCTGTGAGGAGCCTGATGTAGGACTCGATCCCAGGGCCCCAGGATCATGCCCTGAGCTGAAGGCAGACACTCAACCACTGAGCCACCCAGGTGCCCCTCTCTCCCTCTATTTATGTATATATCTCCCCTTGTACACACACACACGATTATAGTTCGATACTTGATATATTTCTATTAAATCATAAAGGCATTTTAATATGTGGCTCTAAAAAAACCATTGAGCCATTATTGCATAACATTTCTAGAAAGTAGTGTTTTTGTCCTGTCTTACTATAGCCTCATAAAGTTAACTAGCTTGTCCTGCACTAGAAATAATAGAACCGCATCTTATCTTCCCCTCTCCCCACTCTTGTTTCCAGATACATAGAATCTTATTTCTTTGTTATGAGAGGGGAATTACCATATTTTAAAAATGACTTTAGGAAAAACACGTGGAATTCAAATAGAGCATGGAGTTTAGTAACTACTAATATACTAATATCACCTCATTAATTGTGACAACGAACCAACTATATTTGTACCATAGTGATCGAAGAGTTAACAGGGAAACTTGGGTGGGCAGTATGTGGGAACTCTGCAGTATCTTTGCAACTTTTCTCTAAAACTATTCTAAAATAAAAAGCTTATTTTTTAAAAAAATATTTATTTCTTGGAAAGAGCAGAAGGGGAGGGGAGGGGCAAAGGGAGAGGGAGAAGCAGACTCCCTGCTTAGTAGGGATTGATCCCAGGACCCCGAGATCATGACCTGAGTCTAAGGCAGACATTTAACTGACTGAGCCACCCAGATGCCCCAAAAGGTTATTTAGTACTACAAAACCTTTTATAATATAAAATAGTTTCTGGTATATATTAAACAGTTTATTAGCACAATGGAGTAAGAATGATCATGTAATTGTATTTTTATACCATCGTGTATACATCCTTTTGTACTGAAGAAAGGATTAGATATGGCCTCTAGAGGACAGTGTTGGGTCATAGAAATATTTTCACAGTCTGCTCAAGATGAAGATGGATTTCCTTATTTTTCTTCTTATTTTGTAACCACAAGTCCTCTGTTTATTCATTATCCATCTTTGACTTTAAAAAAGTCAAAGAAAAGGTGTACCTCCTCTGGTATCCTGATTAGCTAGAGATCTTTAGCTTACTGTTTTTGTGCAGTTTGGGCTCTTCACAGATACATGGGGCCAGAATGATTGCAGTTTTCACCCTAACTTTCAGAGCACTGGGGGCTCGTCTAAGTCCTGTGGGAGCCAAGGAAGAATTACAGGGCACATATTATGTGTTACAAATTTTCATGTGATGGAGAGAGTGCTAGAGAGTTGAACTCCCTTTGGAAAAACCACAAGCCATTTATAGATTGATGAGGATGCTCATAAAATACAGAGGGGTCTTGATCTTTCAAGGTTGTGATTGTTTGCTCCACAGTGATTTGTTGGAGATGGCAGGAAGAAGGAAACAAACCATTGCTCTAGCTTCTGGAGCACATTTCTGGAGTAATCAGCAGAGAAACTCACGATTTTAATTTAAAAATTACCCCTCCACAGGTAGTCTCATGAGATTGACATTTAATTTTTAAGAGGCTCTTGTGGTAGGTAGTTACAGAGTGCTACTCAAACACAGCAGAGCCAGATGAACATTAATTTGCACAACCTTGCCTTGTACCTAGAGGCAGCTGAAACAATTGTTCATATATTGATGGGCTCAGAGATTCTGGAGTATCACTGTCATTATGGATGACTTTTTCTGTTGATAGTGGAGCCTGAGGGCTCCCCTCATACTACGTGAAAGCATCTAGAATAACCACTGAAAAATAGTCATTTGGACGACAGTATGTTCCAGTTAGCGACAACTTACAGATTTCTTATTTTTTACTCAATAAATCTGTTGAAAGGTCCTCTGTTGAATTGGGATATATGAGCCTTTTAATAGGACTTTTGAAAGGGAGAGGAAAATTTACAGCTCCTTGTAAATAGCCTGACATGAAAGTTCAGATCAATAGCGTTTTGTTCAGCCACACGATCAAAGTTGAACCTGTGGGCGGGAATCTCTCATTCTCATCTAATAGTGCTAGGTACCAAAATTTCTCTTTCTCAGATGTAGTATTCTCTTATCTAATGGTGATATAACAAAGTTCCATTAACGCTGTAGGCATTTAATAATTATTAAAGTAATTTGATGTGTGCTTGGTCCTTGAGATATGATTGGTCCTCTAACCTGGTCCCTTATCCAGTGTTCCTTATCCCAGAAAAGATCATCACTCCATCCCATTTGTGCAAGTCAGAATCCTTGACTCCTCTCTCATTTCTCATTCTTGCCCATAATAGATGCAGCACCAGGTCCTATTATCTTTTTTTTTTTTTAAGATTTATTTATTTATTTATTTATTTATTTATTTATTTATTTATTTATTTATTGAGAGAGAGAGAGAGAGAGAACACATGCACGCATGTGACCAGGTCAAGGGCAGAGAGAGAGGGGAAATTTCTAACAGAATCCCTGCTGAGCACAGAACCCAACACGGAACTGGATCTCATGACCCTGAGATCATGACCAGAGCCAAAGCCAAGAGTCAGACAATTAACTGACTGAGCCCAGGTGCCACTGGGTCTTACTGCTTTTACTTCTTAAATATTCCTTGAAACCATCCACTTCTCCCTCACAGCCACCACTCTACTCCGAGCTCTATGACCTGCTGAGCCCACCACAGAAGCCACCTCACCCACAACCAGTGTGATCTTTCATATGCACATCTACCAGACTTTCAGGGGTCTCCTGTTGGTCTCAGCATAACAACCAAAGTCACTTCCACAGCTCATTTAAGACCCTGCAAGGTCTGGCTCCTGTCTCTCCCTCCAGCCTCATCGGGGAACATCCCCTTCCGTGCTTCCTATGCCTCCCGGCCTCCTGGCCTCCACGGGCCACTCAGTTTCCTCTACCTGGAGTCAGCTCCAGTGTGATTTCCTCATGAGTGCTTTTCCTGACCTGGCCTAGAACTTTCCCTTGCTCTATACTCCAGTAGACCCATGCTCCTTCACTTCACTGTGCTTATAGTTAACACTCTTGTTTCCGCTACCAGATAGAAACTCTACGAGCAGAGACTGTGCCCGAGAATGCTCAGTATCAAATCTCTAGCACTTGGCATAGTGATAAAGGAGTGGCTCAGTACACTTGTTGAGGTAATGCATGGCAATTTTTCATTGAATATCTAGGTAGAGGAGGAAGAACCCACTGGATACATTCGATTTGAAAAATTTCTTCCAGTGATGACCAAAGTACTACTAGAAAAAAGGTGAGAACATGCACCTGTTACGGTGAAGTAATGACTAAGATTATGTTAATTTCAAAACACTTGGCTTTCTCACTTTGTGTATTATACCCAACCAGTATTTATCCTGGGATAACTTCCCTGACTCTTCACTAGACCCCGGAACTGCCAGTTGACATGTGCTTAGGAATACCAGCCACATTTGCATTAAGCCAATAAGCAAAATGTAATCACAGAGCAAAAAGGCCACAGAAAGCATAAATCAACAACATATTTATTATCTTCTATTTTGAGTTATCAATGAGAATTTGCCCTGATTATTTTTCTAAGGAATGTGTAGTCTTAGCTTACCACAGTTGGTTTATTGTAGAAATTTTGTTTCCAAATAAGTTGATTTTCATAGTGATGAAAAAGGCTAATAGATATCATCACGTATGCCAGTGATGTTGAAATAAGCATCTTCTTTGGGTGTGGAGTGCTCTCAACTTTCAGATCTGGAAATCCAAAAATGTTACAGTGAGGGAAGTATTATTATCCTTGTATATTAGCAGCTTTTATTTCATTTTATGTGATCATTTTTGTGTCGAGACTGAGCTAAATACTGTGGCATTTGCTCCTTTTACTGCATAAATTAGGTACAGACCAATTCCAGAAGATATCCTTCTTCGAGCATTTGAGGTGTGTAAGCTCCAGATTTTATATATGTTTATATATGAAAAATTCATGCTGTAGAATTTATTCACCAAGTAAAAAAATATAATGTCTGTCTTTTCTTTTCTACTAGGTGTTAGATCCATCCAAACGTGGATTTCTAACTAAGGAAGAATTGATCAAGTATATGACTGAAGAAGGTACCAGTGATTTATTACTTATTTTATAATTGTGACTTATTTAAGTGATTAATAATTTGACAAATATTATGGAAAAATTCTAGGGGATGCTTGTTTTAAAAAGTTTTTTAAATGGTTCATGAGAAACACAGAGAGAGGCAGAGACTTAGGCAGAGGGAGAAGTAGGCTCCCTGTGGGGAGCCGGTTGTGGGACTAGATCCCAGGATCCCAGGATCACCCCCTGAGCCAAAGGCAGATGCTCAACCACCGAGCCACCCAGATGCCCCTAGGGGATGCTTTTAAGTCAATCATTCTGGTTAAAAGAGTTATTTACTATTCCTATTATTTTGGTTTTGGGGTAGTTTCAGTTTTGGGGGCATAAGTGGGCAAAGTGGAGGTTATGGGGAGATTGATTGTTGCCTTCTAGGAACTTGTAGCGTATAAAGATACTTCTGCAAATTGAAATCCCTCCTTTCACTTAGAGTATTCTTCAGAATAAAAGCTATGCCACTTGGAAAACATGAACTGTCAATCACTATAAATCAATGCTGGTTACTAGATTGAAGATTTGAATTGGATTATATAAAAATTCCTTTTTAAAGAGTGTTTCAGTTGATGAAGTTACAGATAACACAGTATCCATTGAATGGAATTCATCCAAACACTTACATCTTCTTATGCTGGTGGAACTCTACATTTGCTTTGACCTTGACCTACACACACACACACTTATCCATAATATCGGCATACTTCTCTATGCCGACATGTTTCCTTGAGAAACTCTCTCTGCTTAGGCTGATGTGTAAGTTTGTTTTGCCTGAATGTCAGTGACCTAATGGGCTTTCTCCTAAAACCATACTCATCTTGGTCACCTCCCCAGCCTCCCATCCCTTGTTCAGTTCGCTGGTTTGCAGATTGAGTCCTCTGTGATTCAGAGCTGCAATCACTTGAGATGGAATCACAAATGCAAATAATTCTGAGGAAGGGAGACAAACACTGTTTCCACCTGTGCAGCTGCCTGGACCATGTCGACCTAACCCACCACGATGTGGGGCTGTAGGCAGTGAGGGCAAGGATGACATGGCTGTCATAGCCACTCCTAAGTACTCTTGTGACACTGTAACAGATGTCTTAGGGGTTTACTTTGATGGGAGGAAATGGCCTTGAAAGCATCAGCCTCTTAACCCTAAGGCGTAATTAGGGGGAGTGAATCCTGGATTATATTAGGCAATATGAATTTAGTCAAAATGGCCTGACACAGTTCAGAGTCATTGATATGGTGACCTGCTGTGTGTAGGTGAGGCGTGCCAAGTGCGGTGAGAGGTACTAAATCTTCTCCATTTCTCCAGGATATTATTCTGGGGGAAATAAAAGTAACATAAGACAATTCACAGTATAAGACAGTGGATTCTCAAGATAATATACTTTGTATGGTGAGTTGCTGAGAGCAGGAGTAAAGTCTTGCACATTACAGCCCCTGCAGAGTAAGTCTGAACAAATGTGTGTTGAATGAATGAACGAGCAGATGAATGAAGAATGTGTGAAGGGGCCAATGGAGAGAGATCCAAAAATGTTACAGTGAGGGAAGTCAGGAGGCTACTGGGGATTTGTGCAGCTATCCTAGTGGAGTCAGTCCAGTGCTGGCAGTGGGAATGGAAAGAAGAGATAGGTACAGTGGGACAGGATCCATGGCTCTTTGTGAGTCACAGAGTACAGGGGACAGAGGTGGGAGCTGAGGCAGAGGTAGCAGAGGTTTGACCTGGATGAGCGTATTGTGGTAACGCTGCTGCCGCCATAGAGAGATCAGAAATGGACTGCAGTGTATACAACATGACTTTTCGCAATATCCACAGAATATTGGTCAGATTGGGAATATGCATTCTGAATGCCCAGGATGTCACATGACAAACATGCCAATGTGGTTACATTGAATCAAATTCCTACAAGATGTCCAGGCATGTGTTGATGTCAGACAGTATTTAGCAGCAGGGAAGTTCTCAAAAAAATTTTTTTTAAGATTTTATTTATTTATTTTGGTGGGGGAGAAGGAGAGAGAGAGAGAGAGCGCGCGCGCATGAGCAGGGAGAGTGGCATGCAGAGGCAGAAGGAGAAGCAGACTCCCCACTGAGCAGGAAGCCTGATGCAGGGCTTGATCCCAGGACCCTGAGATTATGACCTGAGCTGAAGGCAGATGCTTAACTGACCAGGCAATTCAGGTGGCCCTCAAAAAAATGTTTCTTTTTAAATAAACACATATTGCCACCTATGTGCTAGGCAACATTCTAAATGCTATTTAAATAATAACTCTTATAATGACCATATTCTGTAGACACTTATTATTGTCACTGCATTTTAGACAAGAAAACTAAGGCATAGAGAGGCTAAGTGACTTGTCCCAGACCTTAAAGCTAAGGAGACAGCTGAGCATTTGAACCCAGGCAGTCAGCCTCCCAAGATTGTGCTCTTTATCATTAAGCTGTTCTCCTTCCATCCTTAATCAAGTACTGCGTATCTCCTTCCTTGCCCAAGGAAGTGGCATGACTGCCTTCTGGATTTTACTGTGAGCCAGGCCTTGTTTTGAGAAGTCGAGTTGGTTCTTGAGTTCGGGGACCTTGAGCTGGGCTATGGTGTCCAGATCCCAGCTCTGCCATCCACTGACTGAGACGGGCAGCCTCCTGTCTGACTGCTGGAGTCCTCTCCTCCTCCTCCTCCTCTTTCTTCTTCTTCTTCCTCTTCTTTTAAGATTTATTTATTTATTTATTTGAGAGAGCAAGAGAGAGAGCACAAGCAAGGGGAGGGGCAGAGGGAGAGAAAGGAGAGAATCTCAAGGTGACTCCCTACTGGGGCATGGAGCCCAACTCAGGACTTGATCCCATGACCCTGAGATCATGATCTTAGCCGAAATCAGGAGTCGGATGCTTAACTCACTGAGCCTCCCAGGCAGCCCTGGTGTCCTCTTCTGTAAGTGGGGTAGCAGTTCTTACCTCTAATGAGATGCCTGGGAGGTTAACTTAGTTAATGTATCTGAAGCACATAGGTCAGTGTCTGGCACACAGTAGCTCTCAATAAGTGGTTGTTACTAGTATTTTTTAAAGGACTTCCATGGTGCCCATCAGAGTTCATTGGTAGTGGATTTAGCCTTTAATCAGGTATAAGAAAGATTCAGAATCTGTCTCTGTAGGCTCTGTAGGCATTTTTTCTTTTCTTAGGATGTAAGTATGGTTTAAAGAACTCAACACATGTTCCTTGTTTGGTAATCTGTCATCATCATCTTGATCCCCACTTGAATAATTTCTCTAGTATGGGCTGAATTCCAACCTAGAAAGCATTGTTTGTAGTTGCAGGTGACAAGCTCAGAAGGTAAGTGATCCTCAGGCCTTGGTAACTTACCTGCTCAGAGAAGACTCTTTAGGGAGAAAGTGATGATTTGGATGCTTCTGAATTTTTGCTTAATATCAGGACAAAGTTCTTTCTTAAGTAGCCAGTAACATTTCCAATGTTCTTCCGTTCTTCCTAATTTTGCTTCTCATCTTGATGAAAACAATGTCCAAGATGATCCTCAGCTGCTATCTGAATCCAGCTAAAGCCACAGATTTTCTATGCAACCTTTGGTTTTGTTTGACAGCAACACTGGGCCGAGCTGTGACAAAGAGAGCCATTTTGACATGGTTGATGAATGGCATCTGTCCCTGGGCTCAGCTGGCATCACAACATTGGCCAGACCTGGTTAGGGAATAGTTAGAGATACACTTGTTATAGTTCGAGCCTCTGCTATCTGCTCTTGAGAAATTTTGCATAATGACCATGTAGTCCCGTCCTCACATCATTGAAAATGTAGTGATAAGACTTCCTAGAAAACTGGGACTTCGGGTGAATCCTTAGGCAATCCCAATAGCCTTAGTTCAAATAAATAAACAACTTCATTCAGGGTGTCTTAATATTCTCCTGCTATGTTGGCTGAAGTGATTGATTTCATAGGTTGCTTGAGCTATGACATCTACAAGGTTAAATAAGTCTAAAATCTGGTAGGGGCACAACAGCAGGCTCTTGGAATCCCTGGACTGCTGTGGTGTGCTGTCTTCAGGGCCCCAGGGAGGGGAGCCAGCGACCCATCAGGGTCTGGGTGGCTCCAAGGCAATGAAGCTGGCTGGTGGGAAGAGAAAAAAAAAATTCAGAAGATTGTCAGTGATGAATATGCCTTCTTGTCCTTCCCAGGTGAGCCTTTTTCTCAGGAAGAAATGGAAGAAATGTTGTCCGCTGCAATTGACCCAGAATCGAATTCCATTCGTTACAAGGACTACATAGCCATGATGGTGGTAGATGACGGCTAGGTGCCCTGAAGACTTAATTTCTCATTGAAAGGATGACTGTAGAGATGGCCTGTCTTTGTTAATTTTACATCTTATAATTCCTACACATGCTAATTAATACTTGGTGACAACTATTTCAAGATACTTTGTTTTTTTTAAAGATGAACACATTTATTTGATATGTCTAGACTTATAGAATGACAAATGACTAATTATTTTAAAGCCAATTCTTTAAAACATTTTAACATTATCCATGCATTGTTGTGGATTTTCTTTTTTTTTAAGATTTATTTATTTATTTATTCATTCATTCATTCATTCATTCATTCATTCATGAGAGACACAGAAAGAGAGGCAGAGACATAAGCAAAGGGAGAAGGAGGCTCCCTGTGGGGAGCCTGATGCGAGACTCAATCTCAGGACCCTGGGATCATGACCTGAGCCGAAGGCAGATGCTCAACCACTGAGCCACCCAGGTGCCCCTGTTGTGGATTTTTTACAATAAAATCCAGATAGATGACCTTCAAATTCATTAAGCTGACAAAATGAAGAATGACCAGAATGACCCAAGATATGTCATAGAAAGATCTTGGGATGGGGCAGAGTGACCGCAGACTGAAGATGAGTAGCAACTTGGTGAAACAACAAACAGCAAACCTTTCAGCATCTGATCTGGAAGGGGAGTTGTTGGAATGAATATTAATAATTCATCCCTTATGAGTGTCGATTACCAATTTCATTTAAAGTGATAGTTACTTAGAGTAAAATTTAAGTGTGCTGATCCAGCGTGTTACCATTTATGGAGTAGCTAACAGAGTCAAGGTTATTGGATCTAGAGATAAGAAGACATGAATGGAAATTGACAAAGTAAGGAAGTGGCAGTTCTCTTCTGGTCTTTAGAATTCTTAGCTATTCAGAATAGCCATGAGAATAATGTTCTGAATACTGAGTAAGAATATTGAGAAATTATGTGGTGTGCAGGAGGTACAACTGTGGAAGGAGCAGAATAAAGTTATCTGAACATAAGGAATCATGATGGAGAGAGACCCAGGGACTTCCAAGCAAAGGGAAAATAAGGTGAAGGAAAATGAATAATCTTCCATAATGACTACATTCTTCCATGGATCATTCTTTACATGATCGCTATTTGAAGATACTTCCCCTCTGCGTATGTGCGTATTTTATGTATATACACACATAAACATTTGATGTTGCTTATGATTCTTCCTTCTAGGCATGCAAGACAGGGGGCTGCTACCCAAGAGACTATTTGTCACATTTGTTCATTGGTTCATGACGCATTCACTCAGTATTCTTAGATACTGTGTTAGGAACTGGAACTATGAGGTGGCTCCATCAGTAACTAATGGAGGTCATGGTTTAGTGAGGGAGATCTGCAAGTCAGTCAGCAACCACAGTTCAGACTGGGACACATTTGGGTGTTCTGGAAGTGCAAAAGAGGAGCAGCTCACTCGGCCTGGTGAGTGAGTTTCTGGGGGATGGGGAGCAGAGTCTGATGAGCTGAGAGGGCCTCCCAGATCAGGTGATATCTAAGGTAGGGATGAGTTGTTTGCTAAGCTGGTGGCTGGACACAGGGTGTTTCTGCAGGGAAGAAGCAAGTAACAAACACCAGGGGAGAGGGGTTCCTTGAAACATGGAGCAGTCTGGGAATTGAAGATAGTATAGTATATTTGGCATGTAGGAGATTTGGGGAACACGAGAGATGCAATATCATTAAGGATATTGGGTTAAGCATACAGTTAGGATTTTAGTGTTAGAATTTGGACTTTTTTCTGAAGATCATGGAGATCATTTGAAATCGTATGGAAAATAGATCTTGGAGAGTCGAGACAGAAGCAGGAAGACCGGTTGGCATGGGACTTGGTTGGTGGAAGGGGATAGGTTGGGAAAAATCAAATGGGAATCCCAGGCTTTTGGCTTGGACAGCAGGTGGATTATAGAGCCATTTATGTAGCTAGGAAATCAAGAAACAAGTCAGGGTTGGTGGGCAAAGATGGGGAGTTTGGCAGTGGACACCCTGGGATCGAGGAGCTAGTGAGACACCCAGGGGAGACATCAAACAATCAATTGGACAAGTAGAAGGAATATCTGGCAAGAGATATGGATTTTGGAGGCCTCAGCATGTGAGTAATTGTTAAGAAAAAAAGTAGAAAAGTAGTGGAAAGGAAAAAGAAGAGGCCAACAGCGCATGAAGAACATCAGCCTTTGAGGGAAGGCAGCTGAGGAGGAGCCCGTGAGAGACTGGGAAGGAGAAGCCCAAGGAGAGGATACAGGAGAGAAGCATCTGGAAGCCAAGGAAGGAGGATCACAAAGAGAAACCAAGTGCCAGAGAGAGGGCGGGTACATTCAAGACAGAAAACGTCCACCAGCTGTAGCAACAGAGGTGCTCTGCAGGAGCAGATTTGGTGAGTGACAGAGTGCAGGGTTCAGCGAGTTGAGGACCAGAAAGCTACAGTAAAGTGGAGCATGAAGACAGGGCTGGACAGAGACAGCGAGGTTGAGGGAGTTATTTCTGGAAGAGGGGACAGACACATGCAGGTGTGTTTGTACTCAAAGAGCTGAGGGCCAGCACAGAAGCCAAAGACCCCAAGGAATCAGGAGAAGCCACCCAGGTTCCAGAGCAAAAAAAAAGGATTGCTTTGGGGAGGGTTGGAACAACGAACTAGCATACTCCTTACGAGGAAGAAGGTAGTAGGTTACAGAGCAGGAGTTGAGAAAGAGCCCATGTAAGGATTTCCAGAAAACCCCAGGGGATTTCGTCCAGTAGCCCCAAAGTATGTTTGGCAGCAGTGGCCTGCACCAACATACTTCAGTGAAGTGCCAAGTGCAGAGCCCCAGTTGTGGACTTGTTTGGAGCACTTGGGTTGTTGTGTTGATTTGGGGTTAAGGTTTTGTCATCTGAGATGGAAGGAATGGAAGGTCAGGGTAGTTGAGGACTTCACAGAACGCAGGTGGAGTGATGGTCCATGGAGTGTGCGGATTAGGGGAAGATCAGCTAACAGATTGAGAGGGGCGAGGCCTCAGGACCTCTAAAGGGCAGCGACTAGTATGACAGGAGGGAGGGGTGACCGGCTCTCCTGCCATTCCCAGGGAATGACCCCATCTGCTTGCAATTTGACTTCACTGTGTCCTTAGAGTGTTCTTTTAGTCTCCATGTTATGACAGCTAATGCTTGTGCCCCATTCACTGTGCTTTGCACGTATCAGCTCATTGAACCCTCACAGCTGCCCGCTGATATGGGTCCACCTTACCCCCATGTTGCAGAGGGGATGACAAAGATTCACAGCTATGGGGGGCTGCATTTGTCAGTTGGGGCTATGTTGTGTTGTGATAATTAACTCTAACACCTGAGTGGCTTACTACACTGAGCTATTGTTGTTTGTGTGTGGGTCACCTGGGGTCAACCAGGGCTCTGCTGCTTGTGTCTTCTTCATTCAAGTCCTCTCTTCATATGTAGGGTGACCATATGTCCTGGTTTGCCCGGGGTGGCCCCAGCCTGTACCCCTCATGCCAACGTGATTAGTAACAGAGCTCCCTTTTAGAAGGTGCCTGTTTAGACAATTAATATGTGGTCATCCCGTTTAAAGAGACCAAATAAAAATGAAGGTGTAGTGATGGGAGACATTTCCTCCTCCTGTTTCCCCAGATTCTACTTGGGTTGAAGCCTGAATGGAGAACTGGCGTGCCACTCACTTAGTCCGCGTGTTAGAGTCACCACCTGGACGTGAGTCCGACCACATGCCTTTAGACTGGTCAGAGCGGCGGGGGGAAGAAGGTGTGATGACCCTCAGAGCATGAACACGCAGCCTGCTGCGACTGGGGACACACTGCAGCTGCTAAGGAGGGTGGCGGGGATGTGAACTGTCCTTTAAGGTGGCAGTGCACCCAGGGGCACACAATTTGGCGGCAGCAGCGGCCTGCACCAACATACTTCGGTGAAGTTCCAAGTGCAGAGCCCCAGGCGTGGACTTGTTTGGAGCACACGGGCGGCTCAGGGTTCTCTTCTAGAAGTCTGTTGCCATGCATGACCCCGGTGCCAGAGAAGCACAGTTTGGTGAGTTAGTCCCAATGCCTTTATAATCAGATGATGAGGATCTCTTTCTGAGGACTGGCTCCCTCCCAGAAGGATGCCTCAAAACCAGGTACCCCCTTCTAGAAATCTCTCGAACATTCTGACTGCTGTCCAACTTCACACCTTTCTCAAGGAAAGTCTATCTCGCTAGGATTAATAAGAGTTATTAGTTCTTTGGAATAGGATTCCTTTTCTCTTTAGCATAAATTTGTCTTTTTTTTTTCAAGGCCACCCAAAAAGAGCAGCATACACTTCCCACAGAAATCTCATTTCCATCTCCCAGCTGCAGAATAAATGTGACATAGTCACAAAGGCAACATTTGTCTTTATACTCCCAACTATTTCGACTTGTATTTTACCTCTCTTTCCTCCTTTTTTTTAAAAAAAATATTTTGTTTATTCATGAGAGACACAGAGAGAGGCAGAGACACAGGCAGAGAGAGAAATAGGCTTCCCGTGGGGAGCCTGATGCGGGACTCGATCCCAGGACCTCAGGATCACTCCCTGAGCCTAAGACAGATGCTCAACCACTAAGCCACCCAGGCATCCCTCATGGTGCTATTAATTATAAGCTCTTAAGTTTACTTCTAGATTGTGAAATTAGGAGGTTTTAGGCAGTGCTTTGTCTTTTTTTTTTTTTAAACTGTGGTTTATAAAAAACAGTATAAAATGTGCCATCTTCATCATTGTCACATGTATGGTTCAATAGTGCTGAATCTATTTACGTTTTTGTGAAACAGATCTCCAGAACCATTTCATCTTGCAAATCTGAAATGGCTATACCCCTTAAACAGCTCCCCTTTACCCCCGGTCACTAGCAAGTACCATTCTACTTTGTTTCTGAGAGTTTGATGACTATGAGTTAGATATTGGATGTAAGTTGAATCACACAGTATATATTTTTAAAAGATTTTATTTATTCATGAGACACCCACAGAGAGAGACAGAGACAGACAGAGAGAGAGGGAGGCAGAGACACAGGAGAGGGAGAAGCAGGCTCCATGCAGGGAGCCCCAATGTGGGACTCGATCCCGGGTCTCCAGGATCAGGCCCTGACCTGGGCTGAAGGCAGTGCTAAACCGCTGAGCCACCCGGGCTGCCCATGAATCACACAGTATTTGTCTCTTTGTGACTGGCTTATTTCACTTAGCATAATG